ATAGATTGATGGATGGATGGGTGGGTGGGTGGGTGAATACATGGATGGATAGATAGATAGCTGCTGTCAGCTCGACTCAAGCTCATGGTGACCTTATGCACAACAGAAAGAAACACTGCCGGGTCCTGTGTCAGCCTCACAATCGCTGACATGTTTGAGTCCACCATTGTGGCTATTGTGCCAGTCCATGTCACTGAAGGTCTTCCTCACACTTGCTGGCCCTCTACATCACCAAACATGATGTCTTCCTCTAGCAATTGATCCTCCTAATGATGTGTCCAAAGCAAGTGAGTTGGACAATATTCTGTTGTGATCCATAGGGTTGTCACTGACTAATTTTTGGAAGTAGATCACCAGGCCTTTCTTCCTAGTCCATCTTAGTCTGGAAGCTGAGCTGAAATCTGTCCCCATGGCTGACCCTACTGATATTTGAAATACTGGTAGTATGGCTTGCAGTATCATAACTATGCATGTGCCACCACAACACAACAAACTGATAGACAGCTGGTGGCTGGAAGGACACATAACCTCCTTTTACTAGAAATTCTCTTCAAGTAGTGGGGTCACCATTATGCTTTCTCCTCTTCCAGCTTTTCTGTATTGTCCAACTTGTCCACAGTGAGCTCGGATGGCTTCTGCAATAAGGAAAAGGGGGAAACAAGCAACCTTACCTCACCACAGAGAGCAGAGCTCTTTATTTATTTATACCTCTCCCTGTTTCAGAGAGGATTTCAAGAGACTGACAATTATGTTAACAATCCAGCAGGCTAAAATACATTGTCGACAAGGAAGAAAAAAGAGGCAAAGTGAATATATGGCTCAATGAGGGAGAAACGAGTGAGGTAGCCCTTCATGTAGCAGGCTGTAACCTGATCACGTTCCTTGTCATGTCTCGTATTGCCATTTAATTCTTATATCGATAGCCAATTTTCCTGTTTTGACACTTTGTCTTCCCAACTCCACTGAAAAATCTTTCATTCTTTCCTCTGCCCTTTATTACTCTCTCTTTGCTAAAATGTATTGTTTTGCCAATTTTTCTCCTTTGCAGTTTTAAAAATCCATCCATCTCTTCTCCGCAGGGAAGGGGCCAAGTCCTGCCCGCCTGGGCACAGGGGTGTATTCAGGCCTCCACACAGTAGGTGGTCCTAGCAGGTGCTGTACTGCGTGAACGGACTGGCCAGCGCTGAGGACACCTCAGCCCCTTCTGCAGCACTCACTGAGCTACACGCCCTCCGCAGGGGCTCAGTACATGTTTGACAACTTGATTTATGGCATTTATTATCCCAAGAGGTAGTGTCAACAGAGAATAGATATCGATCTGAGAGGGTTTAAATAAATAAGTGGATGCGCAATCCAGAAAGAGAGGATTTAAATAAATAAGTACAGGCAGAATGCTCCTTAGAAGGGAGGATGGTGAGACTTTGTCTTACGTACTTTGGACATGTTATCAGGAGGGACCAGTACCTGGAGAAGGACATCATGCTTGGTAAAGCAGAGGGTCAGCGAAGAAGAGGAAGACCCTCAATGAGATGGATTGACACAGTGGCTGCAACAATGGGACCAAGCATAACAACAATTGTGAGGATGGCACAGGACTGGGCAGTGTTTTGTTTTGTGGTACATAGGGTGACTATGAGTCATAACACACTTGACGGCACCTAATAACAACAACAAATAAATAACTGAATGCACAATTCAGAAAGAGTTATAGACTGAAGTGAGAGGTGTCTGTAAAGCAGCTCAAGCAGATGTTGTAAAGGAGCACTGGCCCTTTCAAACACCACTCCTAGGGAAGCTCTGGAAAGACCAGGGGTGGGCTGTGGAGTCAGCAGCACGGGTTCAAATCCAGGCTCCACCACATCCCATGCTCGGAGGGGGGCCTTGGGCATTCACAGAAATAATAAGGCCTCTTGTGGAATTTTTTAGAGGATTTTATGTGTGTGTGGGTGTATGTATACATACGCAATATATTTAACTTATGTATATGGGTGGTGCAAATGGTTAACATGCTTAGCCGCTAACGGAAAGGCTAGCAGTTCCAGTACACCCACAGGCACCTCAGAAGAAAGCCCTGGCGATCTGCTTCCCATAAATATTACAGCCAAGAAAACCCTGTGGAACTCAGTTCAACTCTGTAACACATGGGATTGCCATGAGTTGGAATAGACTCTACGGTAATGGGTTTGGTTTTTGGGTATAAGGTCTCTATGAGTCGGAATTGACTCAACGGCAACAGGTTTGGTTTTATTTTGATACTCCGACATGACCTTATGTTAACTTAACTGACTGCATCTGCAAAGATCCTATTTCCAAATAAGGTCACATTTTTAGGTACCTGTGGTTACGACTTCAACATATCTTTTTTTTTTTTTTTTTTTTGAGGACACAATTCAACCCGTAAGAGACAAATTGAGGCTCAGAGAGGCAAAGTAACTTGCTGTGGACAGTTTTTTTAACAACTCTGGACCTCAGTGATCCTCTCTATGAAACAGGTAGACAAACCTGCTTCACTCAGTTATTGTGAGCAGTGTTATTATCTTACGTGGTTGTTGGAAGATTAAATGTGGGGAAGGTATTTTGTGATCTCTGACCCCCTGTATGGAGCCCTAGTGGCCCAGTGGTTAAGAGTTCAGGCTGCTAACCAAAAGGTCGGCAGTTCAAATCTACCAGCCGCTCCTTGGAAACCCTATGGGGCAGTTCTACCCTGTCCTATATGGTTGCAGTAGACTCTATGGCAACAGGTTTTGTCTCCTTGGTTTTAACCCCCCCTGTACAGTATCCCTAAGTGGCACAGTAAGCACTTGACTACTAACTGAAAGTTTGATGGTTTGAACCCACCCAGAGGTGCCTTGGAAGAAAGACCTGGAAACCTGCTTCCAAAAGGTCACAGCCTTGAAAACCTTATGGAGGGCAGTTCTGTTACACACACAGGGGTTATGGGGTTTCCGTGAATTGGAATTGACTCAGATGGCACCTGATTTTCTTTCTTTCTTTCTTTGTTTACTCCCTGTGCTAATGCAAAGCATCAATGTTTGTTGTTATAGCATCCTTATTTCCTTGCCCCCATCATCTGTCACACGCAACCCCCTGGCACCACAGAATCCAGGTTTTCAACCACATTCCTTCCAGAGCAAGGCTGGTCAAAGTGTTTTGACTATGGTTCACTGACCTGCAGGAAAGAGCTCGCGGTCCCTTTCTTAGCCTGTTCCGTCTACCAGCAGGAGAAGAACCTTGGGATGAAGGTTAATGTTTGTTTATGAACTCCAAATGTGATAATCCTTAACAACTCATTTAGTTGATTATGAGCAAGTAGCCCTTTATATACTTAAAAATGGCAGTCTGTTCCACTGTGCATCTCTCCCCCAAGGGGCCAGGAGGAAGGACCGGCATTTTTGGATTATTCCTGGGCCCCAGGAGGACTCTTCTGGCCCCCAAATTGATCAAAGGCCGTCCTTGGACTATCACTGCCCTGGGGAGGGCAGAGTCACCTCAGCACCCCGTGTACCCCACGTTTATTCGGGGTCCTGTGTCCTTCATTGCAAACTCCCTGCGAGGTCTAAGGCTGGCCTTGCGAGTGTCCTTTTTGCTATGAGGCCCATTAAACAGACAATTTGCTCTTCTATTGATATAATTCAATTAGGAAAGGGGAGGGGGAAGGAAACTAACCACTAGAGAGTGTATCTGGGAGACCTGAATGGCCACTTCCATTTACGGCCTGCTGCCGAGGGAGGTGGCGGGGCTCATTAAACAGGGAGCGCCAGCCTGCACCCAGCTCCCCGGGGATTGGGGGCACTCGAGGTGACAGGTGGGTGACTGTGTAAGGGAGGTATTATGGATTGAATTGTATCTCCCAAAAATGCATGTCAACTTGGCCATGATTCCCAGTATTGTGTGATTGTCCACCACTTTGTCATCTGATGTGATTTTCCTATGTGCTATAAATCCTACCTCTGTGATGTTAATGAGGCAGGATTAGAGGCAGTTATGGTAATGAGGCAGGACTCAATCTATGAGATTAGGTTGTGTTTTAAGTCAATCTCTTTTGAGATATAAAAGAGAGAAGTGAGCAGAGACGGCAGACCTCATACCACCAAAAGACAAGAGCCAGGAGAATAGCATGTCCTTTGAACCCGGGATCCCTGCACTGAGAAGCTCCTCGACCAGGGGAAGATTGATGACAAGGACCTTCCCCCAGAGCTGACAAAGAGAGAGAAAGCCTGCCCCTGGAGCTGGCACCCTGAATTCAGACTTCTAGCCTCCTAGAATATGAGAGAATCAGTTTCTTTTTGTTAAAGCCATCCACCTGCGGTGTTTCTGTTACAGCAGCACTAGATAACTGAGACAGGAGGCTAACTCTTATGTCCTAGAGCAGTGGCAGGGCAGTGGAGACAGCTCCGGCTTCACAATCTGGAAGGGCCAGCCCTAACTCTGGCTGGGACCCTTGGAGCAGAACAACCTGAGACCAGTTACTTGTGGCCTCTCTCAGTTTCAGTATCTTCATGTGACCCATGGGTAAAAGGAGGGCGGTTGCTGTCATTGGCTGCCGTGGAGTTGGCTCCTGACTCATGGAGACCCCATGTACAATGGAACAAGACATTGCCCGGTCCTGTGCCATCCCCATGTTTTAAAACTCCCAATAGCACATATGAGAAGATAGAGGCTTAGAGAGGTGCAGTGACTTGCCCAGGGTCACACAGCATGTAAACAGCAAAGGCAGGAGGGGTTTACCTCTTCCGTCATGGATATGCCAGCCCCCCATGGCTGACAAACCCAGCCTCTCGAGTTTCAACTCCTCCTCCCTTCCCCACAGCAACAAACGGAAAATCATTCCCCATTCCTGCGTTCTCTGCCAGCCCAGAGAGACGGAGTGAAAAAGAAATGTTTCCAATAATACCAGGGCTGTCTTTCCCCGGCTGCTCTGTTTTGCTGTCTGTTATTGTCTGAAATCTGTCTGTTTCCCACCAGACTCTGGGCAACAAAGGTGCAGGGGCCTGTGTAGCAGCTGGCGGCCCTGCTGGCTCTTACCTGCTCTCTGAGTTTGGGTCCCGGGCTGTGTGCTCAGACTTGACCATGTTTGGGCATGGAGGCTCGCTCCAGATGAGGACCAAAGGCCGCTTCCCTGGAGATGGCCCGGGAGGCCGTGCTTCCTGCTGGAGCTCTGGGGCCTCTTTTAGGGTGGGGGCCAGGCAGAAAGAAACTGTCTGCCAGCTGAAACTCACAGGGGACCCGGGAGACTGTGAGTACTGGTCTGAGAGCACTTAGGGAATGGCTTCTCCAAAGTTGGGGGCTGGCAGGAGAGCTGGGGGAAAGCAGTGTGAGATGGGCAGGGAGGGGTGGGTAGTGGGCACTCCCTTCTTCTCGGGGCTGTCCAGGGGATTCTGGGTGCCAGAGGGGTGATGTTGGTGTCACTCGGGACTAGGACTGCTGGTGTCAGGGCCCTTGGTCTGCTGGTCAGCTGGGGGCGGGGTGCGGGTGGTGCTTGTTGGCTGGGTCACTCTGGTGGCTCAGTGCTGTGGCCCTCAGGTCCTAGCTTCCAGAGGGGCCAGCAGTCAGCAGGCTGGAGATCAGGACCACACCTGGTTGTTGTCACAGTGGACACAGTGGGACAAAAAATACACTTGATAAGAGGGCTCCAGGCATCTGCTCGAAACCTCCGAGGTTTCCTTTGTTAGTAATAATAACAACTTTTATTTATCAAGAGCTTACACTAGCCAGACACTGTGTGAAGTACATTATATTTGATATTTCATTTGATCTTCATCACAACTCTCTAAAGTAGGTACTATTATCCTTCTTTTATAGTCACATGGTTGATAAGCGGCAAAGCCAGGATCTGATCCCATCAAGCCCTTAAACACTATACTCTATTCCGTCTTTCTAAGGAAAAAGATGTCAGTCCAAGCTTAGGGCTACACAGGACCCTCCAAAATCCTTCTTTCCTTTGCTGTGCCCCATCTTTCCTAAATCCATCCTAGATCTTAAGGAACTTTTCTAAATAGGAAGAAGAAAAAAAAAAAAAAAGTCCAGAGATATTTAGTAACTCTTTAAACTGGGAAGTTCTTCTTGGAGTCTAACTGAAATTCCCCTGTTGCGGTTGAAACCTATTTCTTCTTGTCAGAGCCTCAGGGTTTATCAGCAGTTCCCGTCCTTTCTCCTGTCTGAAGTTTCTCACTATGGATGTTGAATTCCAACTTCTCACCAAAGACTTCTATCTGAGTAGATCTCCTGGTGTGGTCTTAGGATTTCACACAGCTCTACAAACCCCTCACTTGGAGTAGGCAATGCCCCCACCCAGGCATTACAGAGAGGCGGGGTCTGAGCAAACCACAGGTTCCAGACATCCTGTGACTGCCTCTCCTCTTCCTTCCTCCTGAGCCCCCAGACCTGGTAACACCAGGGTTCCTGCCTTCATCATCCTCAGGAGGGCCCAGACAGCTGGGAGGACACATGAAGCAGAGGGGGCAGCGCGCTGGAAGGAGGGGAAATGATTAGCCAGGAAGGTGGGGGTCATGCCAAGGGAAGTACTCCCACAAGTACACCCCAACTTTCCCAAGGGAGAAGTGGGTACTCAGCCTATGTCCTCTAAGACATGATTTCCTGTTACCCCAAGCCACAAATTCCTTGTGTCCCACAGTCCCTGGGGTGGGCCAAGGTGCCAGTGACCTTGGAAAGTCCTGGGGAAGCAGGTCGTGGGGACCTTTTTGCCCCATGCCATGTGATGATGTTCCTATACTTGTGAATACGTGGATGGGCTTGGTCAACTGGCACCAGGTAAACCAAGGTGTGGGCTGTCCCATTCCCACCAGATAACAGAATAAACCAAACCAACTCCACTGTCAAGTCAATTCTGACTCCTAGTGACCCTATAGGACAGAGTAGGACTGTCCCATAGGGTTTCAAAGGCTGTAAATCTTTACAGATGCAGAGTGCCACATCTTTCTGCCATGAAGTGGTTGGTGGGTTTGAACTGCTCACCTTTTGGTTAGCAGCCAAGCACTCAACAATTGAGTCACCAGGGCTCCTTGATAATAGAATAGAAGGAATACAATAGAAAGGAATTGAGCACACTATCTTCTTTTCAGGAGAAAATTTTGTTCATTTGTTACCTTCCTATGTCTCCTTAGAGTTTATAGGAACCCCATTCTCAGTGCCCCAGATGAGGGAGGAAAAGTTGTAATGGGATATCGTCCTTGTCAATCATATTGAGTAGAAGGGGAGAGGTGGACCACCTTCCAAAGGAGGCAGTGACAGGTTGTAGCGTTGGTGCCTGAATGTGGACTCTCCCCTTCAGGGTAGTATAGAGAGGGATGGGGAGACAGGGTGGTGCAAAGTTTGTGCTTGACTATAACCTGAAGGTTGGTAGTTCAAACTCATCCAGAGGCACCATGAAGGAAAAGCCTGGCAATCTGTTTCTGTAAAGATTACAGCCAGGAAAACCCGATGAAGCAGTTCTACTCTGTAACACATGGGGTCACAATGAGTCAGAATTGTCTCAATGGCAATGGGTTTAGGGGAGAGAGGAGGTCAAGGGTCTCTGACTGGGCACTGGAAACAGTCTAATAGTTAAGAGAGAAGCCTGAGTCGAAAATAAAGGACTTTGCTGGAAATCTGTCTGGACTAATGTCCTTGGACACTCACTAATTTATAAAAATAACGTATTTAATACTTTAGGGAACTGGCATGAAAAAAAGAAAAGTCCTCCCTGATATCTGGTTAAAACTGATCCTCAAATCAGGAGTTACACAGAAAGAGTCTCTGTAGCTCTTATATCTTTTGTAGAGACGGACTCTGGTTAACTTAAACCAACCAACGAACAACAACAACAACACAACAACAAAGAGATTTACTGGAAGGCTGTGGGGCAGTACACAGAACCAAGGGGGTGTCTACACAAGAGAAGGAAGCTGGGTGGTTTTGTGGGTCTAGGTTTCCAGTTGCCGTCGAGTCCACTCCGACTCATGGCGACCCCATGTGTATCATGGTAGAACTGTGCTCCATGGGGTTTTCAGTGGCTGCTTTTTTCAGAAGTAGATTGCCAGGCCTTTCCTCTGAGGTGCCTCTGGGTGGACTTGAACCTCCAACCTTTCCATTAGCAGCTGAGCCTGCTGTTTTTGCCCCGCCTCCAAGGGACTCCTTGGGGCTCTACGTAGCACAGATTAATGGGCTGTATCTTGAAGACACTTTGTCCAGATTCACACTCCTGGTAGAGAATGTCCAGTGGACCTAGCAGGGGAGGGTGGGATTCTTTGCCTTGGGGTGGGGTAGATCCCCTGAAGATAAATGGTGGGTTTTTGCCAGAAGAAGGGGAAAGAAGAAACACTGTCACCTACTTCTCCCTGATTCTGCTTTGGCCCATGCCCTGAAATAAGAGAGTGGTCTTCTTCCCTTGGAGTCCCTGTGTGGTGCAAACAGTTAACTGCTACTGAAAAGTTGGAGGTTTGACTTCACTCAGCAGTACCTTGGAAGAAACGTCTGGTGATCTACATCTGAAAAATCAGCCACTGAAAACCCTACAGAGCACAGTTCTACTCTGACACACATGGGGTCGCCATGAGTTTATTTGACAGGAATTTTTCTTCTTCTCTTGCTTGAAGGAGGCAGTCTGCCCTTACAGGGGTCCCTCCTGAGCAAAACCTCTTGCCCACCCCCGTGCCTGTGGCTGCCTTCTGGGGGCCCTCCTCCCTTCTCTGCATGCTACCCCCAGCCAGCCCTGCCATGGGACTGTTTCGGCAGACTGTGAAATGCTCCACATTTCTCTAGGAGATAGAGGGTCCTAGGAGAAAGTGCATGATGTTCCACTTCTACTGCTTACCCACTGTATTAGCTTCCTGTAGCTGCCGTAACAAGCAACCTTACACTTGGTGGCTCACAACAGCAGAAATCTACTCTCTCACAGCTTTGGAGGCCAGCAGTCTGAAACCAGCATCCCTGGGCTGAAATCAACGTATCGGCAGGACTGTGCTCCCTCTGGAGGCTCTAGCTGAGACTGTTGTTCTTTGCCTTCTCCAGCTTCTGGCGGCTGCCGGCACTCCCTGGCTTGTGGCTGCATCACTCCGATCTCTGCCTCTGTGGTCACATCTCCTTCTCCTCCTATGTTTGTTTTTAACCTCCCACTTCCTATCTCTTACAAGGATCCTTGTGCTTGCATTTATCCCAGATAATCTAGGATAAGCTTGCCATCTCAAGATCCTTAATTTAATCACTTCTGCAAAGTCTTTGCCATTTAAGGTAACTGACATTCACAGAGTCCAGGGATTAGGACATGCACATTTTTGGGGTGGGGGAGGGGGTCATTATTCAGCCGGTCTCACTCACTGTTTGACCTTGGGCAAGTCCCTTTACATCTCTGAGCCATGAATCCCTCATGGGAGAATGGGGGTGATAACACTTGCCTCTCAGAGCTGGTGGGAGGCTTACAGGGGGTCAGAAAGCCCTCTGGCAGTTGCAAAGCTCCGTATAAAAATAGGGGTGATGTTATTGGTATTTTTGCACCCTCCTCTTTCACCTGTCCTCTTCGTTGTGGCTTACCTGTCACCAGTGCTGATCTCACTTTTGTTTGCGTCTGTGACCCTAGAGATGACCACTTCCCCCAGTGAAGATGGGGAAAAAGCTGGTGATGGCTCAGAAGCGGGGAGAGACTCGAGCCCTTTGCCTGGGTGTGGCTATGGTGGCGTGCGCCGTCATCACCTACTACATCCTGGGCACCACCGTGCTGCCCCTCTACCAGAAAAGGTACCCACCCCTCCTGGCCTGCCCCCGGCCCCAAGGACCTCTCCTAAAGGTCTGGGGTCTGTGAGCAACCCAGCTTTCTTCCTACCCCTCCCCTGACCCTCACACCAGTAAGAAAGTCTAGACAATCCTCATTCTTAGGTTCAAGGGTTGAAACGTGGTGAGAGCAGGCTGGACTGAGCTCCACTAGTCTAGGATCCAGAGGTAACAGGTACAGGACACCCTTCTCATGAGAAACAGCAAAGGATAGGAGCAAGAGCTGCAGTATGAGTTTGAACCCAGGAAGAATCAGAGACTCAAAGAATTTTATAGCTCATGTGTTTGACTCCCCCCTCTGAAACATACCAGTCAGGTAGGCACCCAATCTCTTGAATATCTCAAGTGACGGGGCGCTCACTACCTCACTGTTCACACCACTTTACTTCTGTGCTTTTCTAATAAGTAGGAAGTGTTTACACTTAGTGGAAATCTACTCCCTGTAACACTGCTCAGGAATCTCAAGAGAAAGTTCAATGTCCTTCCTGAGATGTCAGTCATTGGAGCTTTTAAAGAACAGCTGTGACGTACCTGACTTGGCTCATTTTTAGAACAAACACACTCAGTTCTCTCTGCCTGTCCTTAGGATCAGTCTCAGACCCTTGCCTCTGGGCACGTTCCAGGTGCTGACAGCCCTCCGCTCACTTCTGGCAATGGGTCTTCCGCGTGATAAGTGGGAGATAAGTCACAATTGACTCGCTTATGCCTTGATGAGCCTGTTGGCCTCTCCTGGGCCTGGGCCTCCTCACTTTTTACAGTGCTGGAGAGATTCCAGGCTGGGATCTTACTAAGTGCAGCACTGCTCAGAGCAGCCGCGTGCCTTCAACACGTTATCTGCAGGTCAACCTCCATCCCCAACATCTTCCCCACTCTTGCACAAATTAAACCACTCCAACATCTACTCTTTTTAGGGGGAAAAGCACAGATTCTGAAGCCACAAGTCCTGGCTTCCAGTCCAGTGTGGCCTTGGGAACGTCACTTGCCCTTTCTGAGCTTCTCTTCCCTCTCTGTAAGATGAAGATCACGTGGACAACAAGGTCTCCATCCTGATTGCTCATCAGAATCATCAGGGGGGAGCTTATAAAAAAAAAATACCAGGGTAGGTCTCACCCACCCAAGTGAATTCTGATACACTTGTCTAGGGTGTGGCTTGGGCATAGGAATCTATTTTTTCAAGTTTCCTAGGGTTTTGGATGAGGAGCCGGGGTTAAAAACCTCACATGTAGATGATGTCTGAGGCCCCGACCAGCTCTAATATTCTGATTCCATGATTCTGCAGCTGCAGCCAGGGACCCTGAGATCAAGCTCCTTTCAGTGTTGGAGTCTTGGGCAGGATGAGGGTCACAGTCCTGTATCTCTCTAATGTCTACTAGGGGATCAGAGGTTCAAACTGGGGTGTTCTGTATGTTACCCTGTTCTGAAGGGTATACACGTGTTTGGTGTGTGTGTGTGGTCTCCCCAGCGTGTGGACCCAGGAATCCACATGCCATCTGATTGAGACCCACATCAGGGACCAGGAGGAGCTGGAGGGCAAGAAGGTGCCCCAGTACCCGTGCCTGTGGGTCAACGTGTCAGCCGTGGGCAGATGGGCCGTGCTGTACCACACAGAGGACACTCGGGACCGGAACCAGCAGGTATTGGACTGGGGGATAGCTGCACGTTCCCTTCATTCTAATGGGTGTTTCAGCCTGTCCTTACGTGGCTCCCATCCCCACTCTATGTGCTGGCAAACCTGGGCCGTCATCAACCCCATGTAGACAGTGGAGGCTGAGGCTGAGAAAGATGAGCCCCCTGCCCAGGGTCTCACAGTTGGCACAAGGTTGAGCCAGACCTAGCTTTTCTGTGTTGGAGTCAGACAGATCTGGATTTGATCCCTGCTCTGCCACTACCTGACTGTATGACCTGAGGCAATCACCTAACCCCTCTGAGCCTCAGTCTCCACCTTTGTGAAATGGGAACATTAATGTACCTTAAATTGTTGTTATCATTACAGACACTGTGTACAAGGTGCCAGGCTTGATGGTTGTGGATAGTAGGAACTTAAAAAGAAGCAGTCGTTAATACTGTGATTTCCATTCTACATACTGAGTCAAACGAGAGGCCAGGCCCTTGATCCCACAGGGTAGAACCTCTGTGACTCCTAGGGGAGCCAGGGGACCAGAATTGGAGCAACCTCCATGGGCAAATACTTGGGAGACTTTCCTACCAGTGTCCCCCAACACCCTTCTCCCTCCGCCCAAAAATCTACCATAACAGCTTTCCCTAAAGGAAATACGAGTTGCCACTCATTCATTCATCCATTCATTCACTCATTCTTTCATTCAACAAACAGCCCTTGAGCACTTCCTGTGTTAGGGGTTGCACCAGTTGCCATCAAGTTGATTCTAATTCATGGCAACCTCGTGTGTATCAGACTAGAACTGTGCTCCATAGGGGCTTTCAATGGCCAATTTTTCAGTAGGTCACCAGGCCTTTCTTCTGAGGCACCTCTAGGTGGACTTGAATGGCCAACCTTTTGTTTGTACTACCCAGGGATTAAGGGGTGTAGGAGAACAAAGACTGATTAGGTGTGGACTCAAGAGGGATGAGCTCATGCATGAGTTACTACCCAACAGGGAAGGATCCATAGGAGCCCTGGAGGTGCAGTGGTTAAGCGCTGAGCTGCTAAATAAAAGGTCAACGGTTTGAACCCACCCAGTGGCTCTGAGGCAGAAACATGTGTCAGTCTGCTTCCGTAAAGATTACATTCTTGGAAACTCTATGGGGCAGTTCTACTCTGCCTTATAGGGTCGCTATGAGTTGGGATCAAACTGACGGCAATGGATTTGATTTTTTGTTTGGTAGGGAGGGATCCAGGAGCACTGGTGGCACAACGGTCAAGTGCTCAGCTGCTAACCAAAAGGTTGGTGGTTTGTACCCACCTGGCAGCTCTGTGGGAAAAGGACCCAGTGTTCTGCTCCTCTGTAAACCATGGGATCACTCAGAGTTGAAAACCGACTTGATGGCACCCAACAACAACAACAGGGAGCGATCAGTGCCACTGAAGGAGCTATGGGGGTTAAAAGGAGGGAGTGCTATTTTCCGCAGAAAGTGAAGAGAGGTAGAGGGTATCAGAAAGGCATTTGGGTTAGGCTTTAAAAACCAGGTAGGTGCTGGACACACATAAATATGAGGGTAGGACACAGAAATATTGAGTAGGACATAGAAAGAGGCATGGCAGGGGGACATGCTGGCTAGAAACAGGGATCCAAAGGATGACTACAGAAAATGACTCATGATAGGTGAGTACAGCAGGAGAAAGCTGCGAGGGTAGACGAGGTCTGTTCCCAGAGGATTTCGACTACTACCAAACCACGGAATTTAGTCATGATTGGGTAAGCAAGGGGTTCTCAGCCTGGGTGCACATCAGAATCACCTGAGGGACTTAAAACTAAAACAGCGTCCCTTACCAGACCAACTGAAGTGGAATCTCTGGGGCTGGGGCTTGGCATAGATGGTCTTTTCAAAGCTCCCTTGATGATTCTGAGGTTGGGAATTGCTGCTGGAAGCAATTGGGGTAGCACGGACATGACTGGAGTGGTTTACCAGGAATAGGGGTTCCGTTACGGGGCCCAGCAAGTACCCAGGGATGGGATGAGTAGGCCTCCACAGAAATGGAGGTGAAGTGGGTGGATGCTGAGAGTCAGAATTCGGTGGCTGATGGCATACGAAGGGCCAGAGTGGCTGGGAGGATGGTGACAGTGCTGAGGGGTCATGGAGAAGCAGGTCTGAGTAGTGCAAGGTGGTCAGACCTGTTCTGCCATCACTAGAATGATTCAGGAGTCCCAGGGTGGTGCAAATGGTTAATGTACTCAGCAGCTGACCCAAAGACTGGAAGTTTGAATCTATCCAGAGGTGCCTTGGAAGAAAGGCCTGGTGATCTACTTCTGAAAAATCAACCACGGAAAACCCTATGGAGCACCATTTCATTCTGACACACATGGGGTCGCCATGAGTCAGAGTCAGCTTCACGGCAGCTGGACTGGGAGAATGATTCAGTCCCACCAGGTGGAGGGAGAGTCTCAGAAACACCTGAATTAGCTCCTACTCATGACCCTACTTCTTCCTTGGCTTTTGGTGATCTCAGATTTATCCCAAGCAGCTAGTAACAAATTCTCAAAGACAAGCAGAAATGATAACTAGTGCCATTCTCCTGTGGGGTGATGGGGGCTGGGCTGTGGGCTGGTGGGCTGGCAGGCAGGCTGCCTCCCTGATCCTGAGGCTGCCAGCTCAGGGGAAGGGAGAGGCTAGGTCATCCCCTGAGTGAGCTGTCACCAGCATGTAAGACAAGCTCCGGCTGGTCCTGGGACCAGGGTTCATGGCAGACTGCCATTCTGGTGAGGGGTGGAAGTGCCCTTCATGCTTTTGCCAAGCAGCTGGGTAGTGGGTCACTGCTCACAAGCGCAGGGAGATGGTGATCCAGGGCAGCTGGGTGTCCTCTGGAATCACAGGTGAAAGACCGGGCAAGGTTGTCTCCCAACTCCTACTCTGTGGACGGGGCAGCCTGTCTGCTCTCATGTTCTGCTGGAAGACTTAGTTATCCTGGGGGAGTTCTAAGTCCGTCCTGTGGTCAGTGCTGAGGGTCACTCAGGGTTAGCTGGACCACGGCAGGGGGAAGAGGAGGCAAACAGGCTCTGGGTCTGGGCTTGGCTCTGAGAGCAAACTCCTGCCCAGCGTCTTTCCAAACAGGCCAGAATAAGGATCCAGAGTAACTGCAAGCAGACAAGGGGTACAGTGAGGCCCAGGGGTGAGCACAAGCCCCCTCAGAGCCATTGTGGAGCCCAACTTTAATAAGGAGAGGGGCTGTTGCAATATCATATATAAGTCAACAATGATGTTATTAATAATAACAATAGCATCTTCCACCGACTGAGCATTTACCTGGGCTGGGCTCTGATCTAAGCACTTGGCACACATCATCTCATTTAATCCCCACAGCAATCCCACTATGCTGTCATCTCACATCCCTACTGTGCCTGACTCCAAGAGATTGTGGAACTTGCCAATTTCATACAACTTGGAACTGGTGGTTGAACCCAGGCCTGTCTGTCTCCATAGCCATATACCTTTGCTCATCCAGTAGCTGCCCAAGGTCACAGTCAGAGAAGCTGGGGAGACTTGGCCCAAGCCCTCTGGGTCTCAGCTCAGGACTCTGGATCCACCTGTCTCTGAGTGCTCAACAGCTCTGAATGAAAGATTCCTCAGGAGCCAAGCTGCTCCCTGGTTGGACAGGGACTCGTATCTGGAGGCAGTGGCCCCCTGACCTCTTTCTCAGGGTCAAACCATGATGTAACCATCCTCTGTCCTGCTGGACTGAATTCTCTCAGGGCAGGCAGGTTTGGGGGTGGGGGACCTCACTCCAGTCCAGAGAGTAACTGAGACTGGAGGAGAAGCTGCCTCAGCATTGCCATTTGAGTCTCACTTTTACATGGTTTAATCTTGGACACGGTGCTCAAACTAGTGCATGAAGAATTATCTGACTCCTGGGCCCCACCCTCAGTGACTCAGATTCAGTAGGAACCTGGGCTTATTCCCAGCCCTCCAGGTACTCTGCTGCAGGTGATGTGAGGGGCCACGCATGCAGAACATCTTCCAGCGGCTCACATAGCCACATTCAGGCCTCCTGGCGCAGAATCCAGAAAAAACCTGGGTCTCCACCCTGTGCTTTTTTTCTGAGCTTTGCATCTGGGCCTCATCTGAACGGACCAGAAGGTCCCTACTAATAATGATCAGTGACAGAATTAAATGTGTATCATGCTCTGTCTGCTGAGAGCTCTTTTAAACACATTCTGTCTTTCCTTTCAACCTCAGTGTCAAATACCAAAGTATTTTGTTTGGCTTGCACAGGGTCAGACCTTAAAGGGTTTTCAATCTGAACTTTTGCCAATACTTTAAAATCAGCATGAGAGCTCATGTTAAAATCTGGTTTTCTGGCTTCTGTTGAAATGCTGGAGATCTGGCTACAGCAGGTCTTGTTGATGGTATGGCATTAATTGTCTGGATGGAGTGGAGACTGCCAATTTGGATGAGTCAGTCTCTCCATTTTGCCCAGCCCCACCACTTTCGCAATGCAAGTGTCAGCTGGCATCTAGCACCTTAATCCTACACCTGCTTCCTTCATTTACATTATCTGTGTTACCTGCAGATAACATACCTGTATGGACCCTATAGGCAATTGAGTATGTGACCTCGCCCCTGAACAGAACACAGAACACATTGGCTTGTTTCACTCATTGTTCTCCAAAGACAGTTAAGTTTGAAGCCCTTCTTTAATAATATCTTTTGAAAAAGATACTGCTGTTAACCATTAGGACTCCCTGAGTGGCGCAAACGGTTAGTACACTTGACTTGGAGGTTGCAGCCCACCCCCAAGGCACCTCAGAAGAAAGTCCTGGTGATCTACTTCTGAAAAATTAGCCATTGAAAACCCTATGGAGCACAGTTCTACTCTGACACATGGGGTAGCCATGAGTCAAAAGTGACTTAATGGCAACTGTTTTTTTTTAACCCATTTAAATGATAACAATATCAAGGTTCAGAGGGTAAGAGATGTGCCTAAGATTCTACAGCCAATAGGTGGCAGAGCCAGGACTCTAACCAGGGCCACTGCCTACAGCCGTGTAGCTTGCGAGCTGAACAACTCCAGCGGGCACCATTCACACAAGTGACTCTATGGACGGTGCCTCTAGGACTATGCAGTGTACAGCCCACCAAGCTTTAAACAGAAGTCCTGACTCCAACCCAGGGGGCTTGACTCCAAAACTCTGTACTCCATGCCGGTCCCTCACCCTTGAGCCCTGTGGAAAGGGATTTCCAAGCCCGTGGGTACTCTTGCTTCTCCTCCACAGTGCTCCTACATCCCAGGCAGCCTGGACAACTATCCGGTGGCCCGGGCCGACGTGGAGAAGGTGAGAGCCAGATTCCATGAACGCCAGGTTTTCTACTGCTTCCGGACAAGTCGGGAGAACGAGACCAGCGTCCTGTACCAGCGCCTCTATGGGCCCCAGGCCCTCCTCTTCTCCCTCTTCTGGCCCACCTTCCTGCTGACCGGTGGCCTCCTCATTATCGTCATGGTGAAGATCAACCAGTCCCTCTCTATCCTGGCGGCCCAGAAGTAGACCCATCTATGCCACACCATGCCAGGACTGAGCCCCAGGGGGCTGGGGAGCCCCAAGACCACTCCTCACTTGTATATCCATGCTCCTCCCGCCGCCTTTCCACTCTATCCCTCCGATCCATCCTGTCTGCCATCGCATGGTTCACTCTTGGAAAATCCCTTTGTTAAGTCATGTCCTGCTCAAGAATGTGCAATGGCTCCCTAGTGCCTAGGAGGATACAAGGCCAGCCTGTTACAGTTCTCCATTACCTGCCCCCACTCAGCTGACCCAACCCTGTTTCCCCCTGTGCAACTGTTCACCCCACAAGCTACAATGATCCTCGCCTCTGTGCCTTTGCTCTTGCTGGTGGTATAAAGCCCTGTCACCCCAAACAGGAGGTCATCCTTGGCACACCTCAGTTCCTTCTTTTATTTCCACATTAAAAACACCAGCAGCTACCATTTATAGGGCACATTTAAAATATTACTTTTCTTCAGGATACTAAAACTATGTATGTTTTTATTCCAATGTTAATAAATACATATAAATAACAGAAAGTTGTAAGGAAATATACAAAAATACATCAAAATATTAATAGTGATAATCCACAGATGGTGGGATGGTGGTTAATTTAAATTTTCTTCTTTATCCCCCTTTTTATTTTTGGTACTTTTCTAAATTTTCAACAATAGGAAGGTTTTTGTTTTTATTTTTCTGTATTTTTAATCAGAAAAATAATAGCAGGCGTTATTTTGTAAAAAGTTTGAAAATATGTTGTTGTGTGCTGTCAAGTCAATTCAATTCCGACTCATAGCGACCTCACAGGACAGACGAACTGCCCCACAGGGTTATCACATAGATACTGCAGAAATTCTAGGTCACTGAGCCTGCTGGGGAAGTCTGTCTCAAATTCGAAAAGGGAAAAATTGAGGGCGGCCATCTCTTCTACTGTGACTACTCCAAAGAGTTCTTCTAGAATAGCTGTTCTCAGTGGGTGGTCCCTGGACCAGCAGCATCAGCACCCTCTGGGTACTTGTGAGAAATGTATATTCTCAGACCACATCCAGACCTACCTAATCAGAAACTGTGTGTGTGTGTCAGGGTGGGGGGCACCCTACCAATCTAGTCTTGACAAACTCTGCAGGCGATTCTGATGCACATTCAAGCATGAGGGCCACTGGTGTAGGGAACTCGTACCCTATCACCAGGGATATTCAGACAGGGTGAAGGACTGCTTGGCAGGGAGCTGTCAGGGACAGTCCTGAACTGTGTGAGAAGTGAGGCTGGTGTCTCTCCTGGTGCTGTGGTTCTGAGACACATCCCCTGGATTTGAGTCCTGTCTCTACCTCCATGAAATTTCATCTCCAAGTCTTAGTTTTTTCATCTATAAAAGAAAGACCTCTCCTTTTCAGTAGTTGGGAAGGCTGAATGAGGGCTTGACACATAGTAGGTGGCCAAGATGGAAGCTATTAATAATAATAATAAATAATGAATCTGTTGCTATCAAGTCGATTCTGACTCATAGCGGCCCTGTAGAACAGAGTAGAACTGCCCCATAGTGTTTCCAATGCTAAATTTTTACAAAGCAGACTGCCACATCTTTCTCCTGCAGAGTGGCTGGTGGGCTCGAACAGCTGACCTTTCGCTTAGCAGCCACCTGCTTAACCACTGTGCCACCGGGGCTCCTTCCAATAAATAATGAGTACTCAGAAAATTCCAAAAGTAGTACTAACAATAACGTTAACTGTGATTTATTGGTACTTATTTATTACATAAAGCAATCCCTGGGTGGTGCAAACAGATAAGCATTGAGCTACTAATTGGAAGTTGGCAGTTCGAGTTCAGCCAGTGGTGCCTTGGAAGAAAGACCTGGTGACACACTTCCAAAAGATCACAGCCTTTGAAAACCTATAGAGCACAGTTCTACTCTGCAACACACAGGGTCTCCATGAGTTGGAATTGACTCAAGAGCAACTGGTTTCGTTTATTACATGTCAGGCATTGTGCTATCTCAATTTTTGCCCTCCAAAAAAAAAAAAAATGAATGAGGCATTACTTAGCCCATTTTACAGATGAGGAGAGGCAATATAGAACAGTGGTTAAGTATGTCATGTTCTGAAGATCCCTGGGTGGTGTAAACGGTTTGTGCTTGACTACTAACCTAAAGGTTGGTAGTTAGAACCCACCCAGCAGCACCTCGGAAGAAATGCCTGGTGATCTGCTTCTGTAAAGATTACGGTAAAAAAAAAAAAACCCATGGAGCAGTTCTACCCTGTAACACATGGGGTCACCATGAGTTGGGATCAACTTAATGACAACAGGTTTGGGTTTTTGTTTTTGTTTTTATGAAAACTTTAAAGGTGTATTACTGGGCAGGCCATTCACTAGCTGGGTGACTTTGGGCAGAGAACTTATCTCTGTGCCATAATTTTCTCATTTGCAAAATAGGAACTAATAATAGTATCTCCCTCATAGGGTTCCCTAGAATAGTGACTGACACATGGTAAGTATTAGATAAGCTATTATGAAAAATGAAGACTCCAAGAGATAATCAGCCAAGGCCATCTATAGAGTAAGTAGAGGATCTGGGACTCAAACCCAGGTCTTTGTGATTCCAGAGCCTGGCCTCTTAACCACATACCTGAGCAGGCTCAGATGAAGGGCTAAGGGACAGAGCCACCCGAAGTCCCAAGGACCAGGTAGGGAGCTGGCACTACATCCCTGGAGCCCAGTGGTATCCTCGTTCAGGTCAGGGTTCTGAAGGATGGGCACCTGGAATCTGCACCGAATTCTGTCACTTACAACCAGGGTGCCCTGATGCATTGTCATGCCCTCCAGGTTCTTATGGACATTCTTTCCAAGGGGAAGCAGTACAACATTCCTCAGAGTTTCTTCCTTCTGGGATCTGGGAGGTCCCAAGGGTCCTCTGAGTTCTTTCAGAAAATCCCAACAGAGATATTCTAGTATAGTTTTTTTTTTTTTTGCAGGATGTTACCATTAGGGGAAATTAGGTAAAGGGTACATAGGATCACTCTGTACCATTTCTTACAACTGCACTGAATCTGCAATTATCTCAAAATTTTAAGTTTAATTAAAAAAATTAAGATAGTCCAAACGAGGAGAATCACTTAAAGGGGCCACTTGGCACATGGTTTACATGCACCAGCATTTGGGGCTTAAATACTCCAAATCCTCATAATACCCAAGGTGCCCCTGCAGGTAGAAAGGCCAAGTCCCTCTAGAAAAATGAGCACCTGGGGATGGTCAGCCCCCACTGCCCCATGCATTATTAACAGTGACCTTCATTTGCTTGAGACACATATCTTCTTGTCAACAGAGACTGGCCTACTTCTCTCAAATCCACACTCCCCTGCCTCTCACAGAACTTAGTGCTCAGGACGAGCTTGAAATAATGGGCATTTAAGTGTGATGGAGTTAGACACTGAGGAGAAATGCCTGGGAGCAGAGAACCCTCATCGGTTCCTAATAAAACGCTCTGCTAATGAGAGTCTAGTGCTTCCTTCTTTTTGCTTTTTCTTTCCTGGACCCGTGAGTCACAGCTGAAGAAGTGCACTGTCTTCTTCCTCTCATGTGCCCTCCCCAGGAACTCAGCTCATATGGTGGAGATTGTCACAGAGACACAGAGACCCTGAGCTTCAGGCTCAAGTAGAAGTATGCTTGTGGGATGTCCTGAAAGTGCCCAGCCCTCAGGCAGAGCTTCAGTCCCATCAGCCCAAGCTGCAGTGAGGGGGAGAAAGAATGGAGGGTCTCTTCTATCTTGGGAGATCAAGAGGGCAAAGATTTCACTTTACTTTTATGAAAATTCGACTCTCCATAAAGCTCTATCACCTGTCTGCCAGTTTGTTGTACTGTGGTGACTTGTGTGTTGCTATGATACTGGAAGCTATGCCACTGCTGTTTCAAATACCAGCAGGGTTACCCATGGTGGATAGGTTTCAGTGGAGCTTCCAGACTAAGACAGACTAGGAAGAACAGCCTGGAGATCTACTTCTGAGAATCAGCCAATGAAAACCCTACGGATCACAACAGAATATCTCCTGGTACAGTGCTGGAAGACGAGCCTCCTAGGTTGGGAGGCACTCAAAATATACAGTGGCCGCAGCAATGGGCTTGAGCATACCAACGAACATGAAGATGGTGCAGGACTGGGCAACATTTCTTTCTATTGTGCTTGAGGTCACCATGAGTCAGGGCCAACTCGAAGGCAAGGAACAACAACAGAAATAACATAAAACTGAAGGTCTGGGAAGGAGTAGAGAGATGACTCTAACATAGCTCCTGCCTTCAAGGAGCTTTCCATCTTCTCGCTGCTCTTCCTTCTCCCTCATCCACTATTATTAAATGCTTCCTGCTTTGCAGTGAAGAATTTGAACTATGTACATTTAAAATAGTGCTATATGAAATATTAATAAAATCTTAATTTTTGTAACTTTTTGAAATGATGGCAACCCTCTCCAAAGTAACAATTCATCAAAATTTCTCTAAATTTCAAACTGGTTGGGTGACTGGATTGCAAACTGCATTTATCCTATTGCTACATGGCAGTGCAGGCTGATACATTAAAAGATCCAATGTCCTTTGAGTCAGTCTTGCATTTGGTGAAATTTTGAATTATGTGAAATATTTGGGAAGATATTGTTTGAACAAAGTACAACAATCCTGTGCTTTACCAGCCACTGCCTTTTCTGATTTAGGGAACTGAGAAAACCCAAAAAGGATCAGAAAGACACGGAGAAATTCAGGCTAACGTAGGAGTTCTCAAAGTGGAGACTTGCAAAGTCAAACTACTTCCATAATAACACCAAGACGTTATTTGCCTTTTCCGCTCTCACCCTCCCACAAGTGAACAGTGGGGCTTTCCAGAAGCTGCATAATGTGTGATAGATAACCTAACAGACTGAAGGGCGAGCAGTTATGAGAATCCAGCTGTCTCCTATTAAGCCCAATACTGAAGAGATTTGCAGAAATGTAAGCCAACGCCAATGTTTCCAACAAATTTTTTGGAAAATATGGTTATTTTTCATAAAAATATGCATAGGGTCAGGATCAAATGAGAAAATATATTCCAAGTATTTAGCACAGAGCCTGGCATGTGTTAGTGCTCAGTAATTGGGAGTGAAATAATCTACAGAAGAGGAGGAAGGAAGGCACCTGGCCAGGGGATCAGAATGCTTGGGCTCCGGGCTGGGTTCTGACACTCACAAGAGGGCATAGAGACAGGCCTGGATTCCAGTCTCTGCTCCAACAAACCTGTGTGGCTTTGGGTAAGTTGCTTCACCTTTCTGAGCTCAGCTAGC